TCAATGAGATTTAGCTAGTATTAAGTTAATTGAATCTTTTGGTATTACGATTACTGCACACCGTTGACTATTAATAAAGGATTGATAACGAGCGCGGTTATCTTTTAACGTTCAGACTTGTTTACTTAATAATTAATGAAAACTTGACTGTTCGATCAAAAAGGAACGGATTATTTGGTATTGGACAAATTTCATTTTATATACGTACGTTTGAAATAATTCGAACCGAAAGAAATTAAAAAATAAAAAAGTTATCATGCTTAATAAAGATACACTTGTAGCGAACACTGACTATATTCAGTAATATATTACTAATTAGTTATTTTGTTTTTATTTTTTATATTTTTGACATCACTAATATAATAAGCGTTCGATCGAATACAGTGAGTTAAACGCACTGTACGTTTATTCGACGGTAAACTTTATTTTTATCAATTCTTCAATCGCAGTTATGATTTATAAACATCTATTATAGCATAAATTAAATAGTTAATAACTATATGTTACAATAATTATTTCTCAGTAGTTAAAGCGTACTGAAAGTTTTTATTTCATATGCAATATATTTGTTTTATTATTTTTTCGTTATGATAAAGCCATCGTGTAGTATATTTATCATATAAAATGTAAGAACTTGACCATTGACCATTAACTTGAACATTTACACGAAATACAGTTAGGTCGGCAACGGCTATTTACAGGATTTTCGTTTACCAATACAAATTATTTTCCGACGCACACTTCATCGTTGACGGTAGAACAATTTTTGACAGTATAACACTGAAATTGAAGTAAACTGGCAATTCATGCGTATCTTTACTACCACAAAGATGACAATGGACGAGATATGATAATATATTGCGATCCTCGCTAATGAGACGATTTTCGTCGCTTTCCCTCCTGCGAAGTATTGTTATCGTTTTACATTTTTTTAAACGCGTTCAATGATTATCGGAATAAGGCCCAGCGAGGGGTCGAAAACATGTTGCGTGCACTAATCTACACCTACCCGACGAATCCTTTTATTCGTGTTCACGAGACCATCTCATCTCTAAAATCCTGTCTGCCCGGTGGTTGTGCAACCCAATGAATACAAACAACAACAAAATAACATAAACGCACACGTGCGTATGTGTTTATATATATATGTGTGTGTGGATAACGAAATGTTGACACCTATGTGTTGAAAATATTTATTTTTTCCTACATAAGAGGGAGCAGACCTGGTATATTCAGGGATTTGTGCTCATAGTCTTTAATAATGATAAGAAATACAACGTAATATTTTAAATCTTTATTATGCGTTGATGCGTAACATCGGTTTCATCACGTTCGAGAGGTACTTCCTAATTGTAAAACCTGCATTTTATTACACATTAATTTTGACTTATCGATCGTTTTCGACGTGTATACAATTTAATTGAAACACTAATATGAACATTGAATTTCTTTGGGTCTTTGAGATTTAGTTGGTTTTATAACGTCGGGTATTAATTCACTACACACGTTTTATAGCAATTCTTCAATTACTTCGGTATAGTTTTTATTTTCTTCTTTAGACCGTAGTCCAATGCAAAACAAACAAATGTCCTATTAGGAATTATACATTTTTCCATGTTGATCATATATCACGTGCACGAGATGTCATATGTTTAAATCATGAGATCGTACACATTTTAAAAATCAATCGACTGAAAATTCAGTATTTTTACTCTCGGTGGTCGATAGAAATACATAATGAATGATGAACGTAATCGGTCGCTGCACCGGTTCCGGTCGTCGTCGTTACCCGATCGCGCGATGGCGTCCCGCGGTGACAGGGACTTGAAGACAGTGCTCTTTCAACGGCAACACTTTTCCTTTCGACGATTTCCGTTGAGCAAGACAGCAGTCCAAAAAAACAAAAAAAGCGGCCTTACGAAATTTTATGAACGGTTACAACGTTTGAAAATCATGTCGCGCACGACGAGCATCTTGCAACCACTCCGAAACTGTTCGAATATTTATCGTCTCGGCGAACACATCGGAACGAACGAGAAATTTCGCTCTCGGTTTTTCGCACGTCAACAATAATTGTTAGGAATTTAATTATTCTATTAATTCCGTTTAGCCGCGAACGTGATGGCGTTCGGTACGATCAAAAATTATCTTGCGGCGTGCACGGATATTTATAATAAACATTTAATATCTATGGCGTCGGTATAGGTACTCCGATCGGTGTCAGACAACAGCCACGGGCCAGAGTTGCATGGAAGAGCACGGCCGCTAGAACAAATGATAAACGATCGCTGGATTATAAAATCATTATTATTCGAGTATTAATAGTTGGAATAATAATATTATTAATATATCGAATTACGTCCGCGACTGCTGCGGTTCGTGATGGCCGCGACGGGTCGCGCGTACGCGTGGGCCGCAAATCGCGTCTATACAGAAATCAAACATTATCACGCGAGCTGATAGGTTAGTAAGATAATATAAAAACTAAATTAAATAATATTATCAAACCTATATTTATATACGTACCATACAGGGCGATCAAAATATCACGGTGAAGCAGCGCTTTCTGATATATACACCGTAAGCTTCACTAAACAAAATATTATCTAAGAAATAACTTAAAGATATTAATTTTTAAACGTTATTCAAGTCTAATTGACATCGATGTAACGCAACATTTTTAAACCTACCTTATTTATTATATATTTATCTCTTTTTTAGTTAAGTCGATCGGCAATTAATAAAGCTTCATTCAATACTGTATTCGAAGTATAGTAACACGAACATGAAAAAAGCTTAAAGTTAAGAATTCCATAACCAACAAATTTTAAATTTGAATAAACATCGATACTAATGCATATTATGTATAATATACGCTGTAAAAATATATTCTAGAAAAAATAGCAATGCTTATCATATACATACAAAGCCGGATTAAGGGGGGGTCCAACCGGGGCGGTAGCCCCGGGGCCCTCTCGAGTACCCAAGTGAAAGGGGCCCAAACGATTTTCAGCTGAAACACATTTTTTGTCATACTAAAATTAGTAGTTTTATAGACAAAAATAGTACATACCTATTAATTTTATAATTTTATAATGCAATTGACAATTTGTGAAATAGTTAAAAAAAATGTATCGTTTTGTGAGCATAGTGAGCAGCTTTGTAAAGCATGTTTTGTCAATAGGGCCAATATAAAATTTCAGCCCCTGGGCCCAATAGGTGCTTAATCTGGCTTTGTATACATATATTAAGTGTGTTTGAATATTAAAAATTATTACAAACTAAAGTCAAATATTTTAAATGTAACTAGTTGGTTGATAATAATCCTTGAAAATCCATCCGTAACTGTATCTTACTTTAAAAAGTTGTTAAACCCAAGTACCTCTAGTAGGGAGTTCAAATAGTAAAATTTTGCTTATTATAATTTTAAATTACTGTATTACATAAATCTTTACTGTAAAAAATACATATATACCCTGGATATTTATACAAGAAAACCGTTTTAACATGAAATGTTGATCACACTGTATATAATATACTTAATAGTATTATACCGATAAACAATGCTCAGGTGCCCTTTCTTGCCCTTTTATGCATTACACCGCGTCACCCCCCTCTACCTCAGTCTACCCAAAAGTAATGCACGGGAGATTAGGTCTGGATCGCAGTGGGATCACTGCCATTAAACAATAATCACAATATAAATAATAACAATAGAAGAGGCGAATAGCTGCAGATACGATAAACGGCCGGTAATTAATATTACTACCACGCTATGAAAAGCCAATTAATTAAAAGCATAGACCCCTTGAACTCCGCAGGACCACCTTTCGGACTACGTTCGTATATTAATGTAGGTATAGGAAAAATCCTACGTCTCGGGTGTATTATTATTATTATTATTGTTGTTATTATAACATTTTTTATTTTTGTTTTTATTTTATTAATTTAACAATGACACGGAAACCATTAATTTCGTTTTGTGTAGTAAAAACACAGAGAGTGAGAACGAGTGAGAGAGAGAGAGGGTGAGAGAGTGCGTGTATTTATGTATGAGTATCTCGATACGAACCGAAAAAAATTCCATCACATTATATTTATATGTATACTTATCTAAGGAATAAATAGAAACTATGTACACTATCGTCGGTATTTACTCGTGGATGAATACCTTAACGTTTAATTGCCGTGGGAACAATATTGTCTCATGAGCCACGCGTAAACGTGTGTGATTATTGAGGTGTCACCTCGGCTAGAAAAAAATAAACACGCCATTATTTTTAACAATTTACGTTAGACGAATGCAGGAAAAGCATAAATTCTAACATCCGAAATGAACTATTATATTAGTACACGGTCTGAAATACCGGTGCAATATAAATATGATCCTGAGGTGACGGAGTTTTCGGGTTTTAAATACTATTCCATAAGCCATCATATATGATAAATGGTACGTAGGTGCTGCGTACTTAAATGTGTTTAATTTAACATTGGGTAGTGGGGGTTGCTAAATTTTTTAAACAAGGTAACTACATTCAACATTTTAAATCCCCTATGATCAACATCGAGTCGATTTTAAGTAGAGATTTGATGAACAAAAAATTAATAAATAATTAATAAATTATTTATTGTTTCTTAATTATTTCTTCAAAATAATGATAATTAGAAATAATAATAATCTGATATTATTATAATTATGTATATAATTATATTATTTATATTCTAATATGACTGAAGAAAAGTCAAAAAAAAAAGAAAAATGTAAGATTATTAATGCGATACCTACAAATTCCTGCAAAAGCAATGCCAAAACTTTTAATTGTAATCGACCATTATTCGTAGTAGTAAAATCGATCAGTCGATTACGATCGATTAGTTGGCAACCCTTTTTATATATGTTTTTATATGATTTACGCGGATTAAAAATATTTTACTCTCGTTGTGTTTACACCGCGTTTTATTATTATAATAATCACATCGTTGTATGGTATGATTTTCAGTTGTATACAGCGGGAAACGAAACGGACCGCCGCAGTTTCTTGGATTCATTATTTAGCTACATGCAGGAACAAGGTGAGTCAAACCAAACTATATATAATATCAACGTTTTACTGTTTTACTGTTTTATGCGCGTCTACTAGTACAAGTTTCGGTTTAGCAATCATTAATATTATTATTATCATTTTATTTTTCCGAACAGGCATTGGTAAATGTTATTGCTTATTTGCGTACAATGTTAAAGAATGAATAAATAACTCGAACGGAATATAATGAACGTTTTTACGGCACTAGAAGTATATACCATTATCGGGGACACGTATACAAACAATACATAATAACGTTCGCATGGTGTGCATTATAAAATTGAAATAAAAGAAAAAATAAAAAAAGCCCCACGTAGGTATGATTTCTACAGAAAATTATATTATTAAAATTGAAACAATACGCATCTGAACACGACCAAAACACGAGCGTGTAGAACAACCATGGATCCGTCGTCTCGCGCAGAATACAGCAATACAAATCCACTCTCAGCCATTAACAATTGAAAGAATTTAATATTTTATTAAACCTAAACCGAGTTGTCGTCCGGTTCTATGTATAATTTGTAGAAGTTAGGGTTTAATCACGTGATAAATACGTGTACATTCACTTGGCTACGGCGTACCGTAATTAACTGTAAAATATTTTTGATCATAATTCCCTTTCAAGAACATTACAACGGTGGTGTTTTTCGCTATTATCCGTCTACATGTATAATTACGCGTAGATATAATGGAAATGTTTATCGTACAATAATAATACGTGGATGTATTACGTTTAAGGGTTCCCTCGGAATATACCGTAACATTTGATGCACACCAAAATTGTATTGTATCACATAGGAGAAATAAGTTTTTTCATATTTGGATCGGCGTGGCGAACGATATCGTTACGCTCGATTCCTTGTGCGGAGTGGTTAATACGCTTCAAAGCGAATTTTCATGAGTTTTGCCGAAATCGTAAACGTGACGTTTAAAATCAGATATTAAAAATCGAAAAAAATATCGACCGAAACGTAGATTTACGGTCGTCCGGTTGTGCACGTTGACTCAACGTCCGTTCTCAATAAAATACGTCTCGCGCTGTATTATATTATTATATTTTTCGTTTTTTTTTAATTTTTTTTTTATATTTGGCTATAAAAAAGTATCGGTTTTTATTATTTCATTTAATAATAATGGACTCGGTTGCTTTACTGTACAAGGTTTGTGCGCATAGTCAACCTAATATAAAATTTACAGCGTTGCAACACAATACCAATTTCTGACAAGCCTGTAATAATAATCGAGCGGCCAAGTTATTGGCCGTTGTTCCATCTTGGGTGTGTTCGATCTTCTTTTCGCTGTACGTATACTGTAACAATGGTCTAACTTCGAACTCGGGTCAGGGATCGAAACAGCAAAATCGTAATTTTGAAATAAACGTCTGCTCGTGTTTGGTGGTATTTCGCAGTGTTATAGACAAGTGTATCGTTGTTGTATCATTGCAGTTCGACTAACGATCAGGCTGTTGATATGCTAATTAGCAAGATTAAACAGCGTCAAAGAAATTGAAAGGGATAATCATGTTGGAATAATACAGTTGAAATTGTAAATTTGTGGTGAACATCAAGTACAACAAGTACAAGGAGTTTTGATAAAATATTAACAAAAGAAACATTGTAGCAATATTGTTATTCTTGTTTACATAAATACGTCCATTGGGAATAAAATTTGTCTTGAAAAAGAAAAGAAAAAAAAAATTCTATACAAAATTTCGAATAAAGCTTTATCGCTCATCACGAAACCGAGCCTGTATTTCGAAGTGATAAAAAAATGTAAATTAAAATTATGTTAGTGTTACAAAATCGTTCATTTAAATAAACGTTGAAATTAAACAAAGTAAATAACTAAACAAACGGCAACAAATTCAATCCAATACTGTGGACGTTCGTTTCATTGCAAATCGTTTTCAATTAAAACTTAAAAAAAAAAAATCATGGAAAACCGTTAAACATAATAGTCTTCCGCACGTTAATTGTTCTAACAAAAATAAATCAATTATCATATACTTAATAAACAAAATAAACTTGCACGTCAACATCATTTTTTTTGTGCATAGTCGAGTTATTTACGCCCGACGGAATCGCGAGGAAACCGTTCTTCTTGTGGAATCGGTTCACAAGAAAATTGATTTATTCCGATGGTCCATGGACCGTGCGGGTTTATCGATTAAAAGTTACATACTAACCAATAACACGTATCGGTGCGTAGCTTTTGTATGTTTGTATTAAGAGGATGTCACACCCTCATGTGTTGTTTCCGTCTGACATACATACAACATAGCAAATTTGCGTTCAGTGATTCAAATGTAGTGGAGTTCACTTTAATATTAGAGTAAACTGATCTATAATTTAGATTATCTGTGTTTTACTGGTCAGTTTTTTCCGATATTTTAATTCTTAAGCGTGTTATGTATATGTAAAATATAACTTTTAAAAAAACATCATAAGTCGCTAAAAAATTAAAATATCGGAAAAAACCGATCAACAAAACACAGATAATGTTCTTCCCTTAAAGTTTGATTATAGGTCAGTTTACTCTAATATTAACGCTAACATTACTATATTTGAATCACTGAACGCAAATTTGCCAAGTTGTGTGTATGTCAGATGGAGACAACACATGGCGGATGAGACATCTTCTTAAATGTATAAGTATTTGTTTCGTGTTTTCTATTTCTTTTCCGAATTTTAGATTTTTATTTATTTTTTTATTGTTCCTTTTAAAGTAAAACTCATTGTTGAAGGTTTACAGTTGTATACCTTGTGCAGTTATCGAGCAACACGTGTATAATTTACGTGGTTCTGAACTACCCGTAATATGTAAACGTCGTTTTATACACGTAACGGTGAGTCCGTAACGGTAATTAAAAAATTAAATTGTCGAATATGTATAAACACGCGCTCGTTAATTTATTATGCCGATCACCGCGCAAAGGGGAAGTGGCGAGGGGGACCGAAATTCCCCAATAACGACAAATGCCATCTAATGATGTTTTACACAATTCGGTAAACTATACATATGTAAATATTAATTTTCGGTTCGTTAAAATATTAATAGTAAAATGTCGGTTTTATAATACACAGGTAAAGCAATATTTTGAAGAAAAAAAATTATAATACGTACAATGATTTTCATTTAGAATAAAAAAAAAATAAATACGTGTGTCACTGTTACACAACGTCGACAACAATCCCACGTAGGTGTGTAATAGTAAACGGCAATTGTAAATGGGTAATTAGCACAAATACAATAAATTAATTTATATACCGTTCACCTGTTGTGTTGTTTTAAATGGTAATTTTTTTTATTTCCAAATAATATCATTATATTTTTTACCGTATTTACGAAAAAACACATACGATGCAATAGAGGTACGCACACCATTATCTCTGTTTAAAATACTGAAATATTTTGTTATTATTATTTCAATCCTTCCGTCCACCAGAATTAATTTTGGTTTTTTGTCGAACATTGTGAAGTGTTCTTCACCGAAACACAGTCTTTTAAATTGGACATTATTATTACTACTACTACGATCAATGCAAGTAAATTACATTTTTGCACTATGAGCTCATTACATTTTTATTATATAGTACAGATCTGTTTTCAAAAGTTGTTTTTATTTTCGATTTTTAAAAATGTTGTCACCGGTTTTTATATATGTGACAAATAGTCAAACGCTTTTTAATCGACAAACGTTATCATTTTTCAAGCGTACTAACAATGTTATATCCTACGACTAATTTATTTATCGCATTCGATGATAAACGTATCTTGTTTCAAGGAACGGCGTCCAGGAAACACGTACACGGTTAACAGTGTATGTACTACCTAGTGAATTATAACCATCAGATACCGTTAGAACGCTTCGACGGATGTATAGTGTGTATATTATGGTGACACGAGACTTTTATGTGTTTACATATTTTTATTCAATATTGCACCGCGCTGAAATCAATGATAAAAATATTAACACATTGTAATCAGTTCCGAGGAAAGAAATACACTTAATGGTTTGGTTTGAACGTGAAGTATCATAATAGCAGTTCGAAGTGCGTACAATATTTATACAATTTATACGTGTATAATGTATATATAATACGGTAAAACAATAACTAATATTTATCAGAATTTTTTTTACGAACTGGCGTAAAACTTAACTGCCTCGTTGAAGTACAACAATGTACATTGCACAACATAGTGCGACCAATTTTTAAGTGTATTTAACATTTGCTTAACTATTAAATAATAATAATAATAATAATAATAAATATTGTTTAGTTACAATCGGTGTTCAGATATTATAATAAATAATACTGCAGGCCGTTAACAGTGGTCAGTGAAATCTATTGAGGCATGGTAGGGCTTGCAAACGCTGATAATGTTCAATTATTTACCAACCGTATAATAAGCTGTACGTAATTACTATCATGTGCGAATTTAATAGTTTTCCGATAGCAAAATATTTGAATATCCATCATAGGTGTATTATATCGGTGAGTCTTTAGTTTAATTTGTACAATTTTACATATATTATTGGCACCCTTTTATTTTACATTTGCTAGTAATTTGCCATGTTATTTTGTAGCGTTATGTGTGCAACAACAGTGAGGCGGTACATATTTTTTAAAGGTTTTTATCGAAGACGAAACTTTTTAATATTTAATTTTTCGTAACCACGTTAATAGTGCGACGTGCATTATTGAAAACGGGTGATGGAAGGTGCGAGGTATAGGAATAGGTGAGATACGGAAACAGCTTACTCGTACGAGTGAATTGTTTTTCTAAATTTTAAATCTATGTAACATAATTATTAAGAAAAACGATTCCGGGCAAAATGCTAAAATTATTATTATAATACGTATTTAATGTATATAATAATGTATCTTATTTCAAGTCCCTATAGCCAATGCGTTTGGACAACAAAATAATTAACATTCTACAATAATCATTGGCTCAATTGGTATTAGTATAAATATTCAGATA